AAATTTACAGTGCATTAATATTATAAATTAATTGATTTAAAATATGTTTTTTTTCGCTACACAGTTCTAACCATGTTTCAAAAATGGAAGCTGAAAGCTCCAAATTTAATTTTGTAATTCGCTTGAGGATGAAATGGAACTAATGACTTTAGTTTAATTACAAAATTAAATTCGGAGCTTTCAACTTCCATTTTTGAAACATGGTTAGAACTGTATAGCGAAAAACATATTTTAAATCAATTAATTATAATATATATATATATATATATATATATATATATATATATATATATATATATATATATATAATAGTGGATAGCGGCTAGATTGAGGAATCGGAGAGCAAAAAGAATTCAGTCGAATCCATTACATTTACTTACGTGCTAATACACTTGGTAAAGGCGTGAATCCTCTTCTTCTTCCCCCAGCTATGGGTAAATAGCATGATAGACTGGGTTCTATAGCCTTGGATGGCCATAGGTTTAGAAGGAGGACAACTCTGAATTTAAAACCTGCGGAGGTCTCAGCACCAGGTCTCTGGTTTCAGCCCTTCAAAGAATGTGATTGGCCCAGCACAGAGCCTTAACCAGTATAGCCAAATCAAAAGTGAAGGTGTCTGGCTGTCGGTTCCAAAAACCTTAGTTGCTTGACCCTCTTATGTCGAAAAATGACAGGAGAGTCCAAGATATATATACATATATATATATATATATAGGTGTGTGTGTGTGTGTGCGTATGTAATTATGTATTTGGGCAGCAATCCCTCTTTTATACATGTTTCATTAAAGAGGAGTGACAAGGTACTGCGTTTAAGCTTTTTGTTTAATTTTTTATGTGTTCGTATAAATGTCTCCTTTCCTGGACAAAACTGGCCAAAATGTTCTGCATATCCGAAACGCTTTCGGCTATTCTTTTAGCCATTATCAAGGATGATTCTTATTTTTAATTGAATGCATGGAATTTTTATGTATGTATCTAGAGTTATAGGAATTTAAGAACGGCCTGAAAGATACCAAACTCACCGGCAGCATAATTGTAGAAAATTATGACAGCCTCACCCACATGTAAAAAAGACTAAAAATAAGGGAAGCATTGATAATAAAAAAGAAAAGCCAACACTCAATAACATCAACAATGAGTACGGCCACAGTGTGCTGACAGTGTTTGTAAAAGCAAAAATGACATTCTGATAACTCTAAAAGTGTATATAAAAAATTCATACATTCAGTTAAAAATCAAGTCATACTTGAAAATGGCTAAAAGAATAGGCGAAAGCGTTTGGATAACAGGTGGACAACTTTTACATTTAATGAAACTATATATATATATATATGATTATGCTGAGATGGCCACACACCAGTACGCACAGGCACACACACAAATACAAAAGTACACAGAGAAACACACGTACATACACATACAGACACAAACACATATCTAAATAGAAGTGAACAGACAATAAAATAATGAGTTAGAGAGAAATATATATAAAAGGACCGATATATATATATAGAGAGAGAGAAAGCTAGAGACTGAGAAAGTGACAGAAAACATATATGAATGTATAAATATATATATATATATATATATATTAATAGATAGAAAATGAACATATATATATATATATTGATAGATAGAAAATGAATTGATATATATATATATATATATATATATATATATATATATATATATATATATATATATATGTGTGTGTGTGTGTGTGGGCAGGGGAGTGTGATAGAGACAGATAGCAAAATGAGTATATATATATATGAATGTGTGTGTGTTTGTGTATTTGTGTGTATGGGTTGTTTTGTGTGTCTGCGCGTATTTGTATCTGCATGTGTGGAGAGATAGATAGAACAAACTGATATATATATATATATATATATATATATATATATATATATATATATATATATATATATATATATATATATATATATATATATATATATATATATATATATATATATATATATATATATATATATATATATATATATATATATATATATATATATATATATATATATATATATATATAATATAAAAGGATGATTGACAAATACATAAAATATTAACGGACAGCTATAGATTTGAAACGACTTTTAAATTCATACAAGAATTAAATTAACCTCCTTTTCTCTCATAGCGCCTTTCATTATCCGCCCCCCGCATTAACATTACAACGGAATGCATTCTCCCACCTCCTCCCCTTCGCATTATCTCCAAATTTTGACGACTTCATACTGTGACGTCATCACTTCCTTTACTCGCTTCCCGACTCGTCCTTGGCCCACATTTTCCTGTTTATTTGTGTCGTTTGCAATTCAAAACTACAAAAAATAAATGAATAAAAAATAAAAAAGATGTTGGAAGAAAGGAAAACAAAATGCTGATAAATGGTTTTCGTGTTTTTCAAGAAATCGATGGTCGGAATTTGGTAGAATATTTCTTTGTTCTTTGTCTTCATTTTTTTTTTTTACCATATTTAAAAAATATTCTTTGTGTTTGGTTAATTTTTACAGCTTAATTTTTTTATTGGCTTGCAATATGAATTTCTCTCAAACTGTTTTTGCGTCTTCATTTCTTTGTTTACGTCTTTCTTCTTTCTCTTCATTCACTTTTCTTTATCTCTTTCAATATTTCTTTGTCTTTCTTTTTCTACTTCGCATTTTCTGTTTATTTTCTTCTCCGGGCTAGTTTTCTTTTTTCTTTTTTTTGCTTTCTTTCATTTTTGTCTATAATTCTCTCGATTATTATCTGCTTACTTCCTTCGTCTTAAATTTGCTCCTTTCTTTCTTTCTTTCTTTCTTTATTTCTTTCTTCTATTTTTTTCGGCTTAAATTTGCCTCTTTCTTTCTTTCTTTCTTTCTTTCTTTCTTTCTTTCTTTCTTTCACGCTCATTTTAATCCTTCCTCGTCTCATTCCTTCACGATCTTTATATTTCCATTCTTACTTTCTTTCTTTCTTTCTTTCTTTCTTTCTTTCTTTCTTTCTTTCTTTCTTTCTTTCTTTCTCTTTTATTTTTTTTCGTCTTAAATTTGCTCCTTTCTTTCTTTCTTTCTTTCTTTCTTTTATGTTCCCTTTTCCATATTTTGATTTCTTTCTCCAGTTTATTCTTTCATACTCAATGTCTGCTTCCGCTTTTTACTAAGCTTAGCTTTTCTTTGTTCCAAAATTCCTTCTTTCTTTTGGGTCCCATTTCGTTCATTTTCTTTTTGTTGACTTTTATTTAATCTTTTGGATTTTCTTTCTTTCTTTCTCTATATTCTTTCATGCTTTCTCTGTATAATTTCTTTCGTTCTTTATTTTTTTTTTCTTTCTCTCTTTATTTTCTTTTGTTTCTTTCTTTTCCTATGTTTGTTTCTTTTTTCTCCCTTATCTTTCACTTTCTTTCATTGACTTTTACCTAAACCTTTTGTTTTATTTTTCTTTCATTTATCTTTCTTTCTTTTTTGTTTCTTTATTCACAGTCATTATTTTTCTTTCTTTATTCATAATCTTTCTTTCTTTCTTTCTTTCTTTCTTTCTTTCTTTCTTTCTTTCTTTCTTTCTTTCTTTCACGCTCATTTTAATCCTTCCTCGGCTCTTTCCGTCACGATCTTTACATTTCCATTCTTTTCTTTCTTTCTTTCTTTCTTTCTTTCTTTCTTTCTTTCTTTCTTTCTTTCTTTCTTTCTTTCTTTCTTTCTTTAGTTCTACCCTCTTCCGTTTCATTTTCCTACCTGCTTCTTAAATGTCTTTTCTCTCTTTCTGTTTTTCTTTTTTCTTTCTTCTACTCCTCTTTCTTTCTCCTACTTACCTTTTTAATTTCTTTCTGTCTCTTTCCCTTTCTTTCTCTCTTTCTTTCTTTCTCTTTGTATTTCCTTATGTCATTCATACTTTTTTTATTCTTCAACTTTTATATTTAACTAAATTACATTCTATTTATTTCTCTCACTTTTTCTTCTGCTTACTTCTTTACATTTCTTTTTTCAAGTGCATTTTCGACCTCCTATGACATTTTTTTCGCTTTTTTTCTTTTATTTTTCTTCTTAAATTTGCTCCTTTCTTCCTTTCTTTCTTTTTTATTTTTTCTTCTTATATTTGCTCATTTCTTTCTTTCTTTCTTTTATTCTTTCTTTCTTTCTTTTATATTTTTTCTTAAATTTGCTTCTTTCTTTCTTTCTTTCTTTCTTTCTTCCTTTTATTTTTATTCTTAAATTTGCTCGTTTCCTTCTTTCTTTCTTTCTTTTATTTTTCTTCTTAAATTTGCTCCTTTCTTCCTTTCTTTCTTTTTATTTTTCTTCTTATATTTGCTCATTTCTTTCTTTCTTTCTTTCTTTCTTTTATTCTTTCTTTCTTTCTTTTATATTTTTTCTTAAATTTGCTTCTTTTTTTCTTTCTTTCTTTCTTTCTTTCTTTCTTTCTTCCTTTTATTTTTATTCTTAAATTTGCTCGTTTCCTTCTTTCTTTCTTTCTTTTATTTTTCTTCGTAAATTTGCTCCTTTCTTTCTTTCTTTCTTTCTTTCATTTTTCTTATTAAATTTGCTCCATTCTTTCTTTCTTTCTTTTATTTTGCTTCTTAAATTTGCTTTTTTCTTTCTTTCTTACTTTCTTTCTTTCATTCTATTATTCTTTCTTTCTATTATTTTTATTCTTAAATTTGCTCCTTTTTTTCTTTTATTTTTCTTCTTAAATTTGCTCCTTTCTTCCTTTCTTTCTTTTTTATTTTTCTTCTTATATTTGCTCATTTCTTTCTTTCTTTCTTTCTTTCTTTCTTTCTTTTATTCTTTCTTTCTTTCTTTTATATTTTTTCTTAAATTTGCTTCTTTCTTTCTTTCTTCCTTTTATTTTTATTCTTAAATTTGCTCGTTTCCTTCTTTCTTTCTTTTATTTTTCTTCGTAAATTTGCTCCTTTCTTTCTTTCTTTCTTTCTTTCATTTTTCTTATTAAATTTGCTCCTTTCTTTCTTTCTTTCTTTCTTTTATTTTGCTTCTTAAATTTGCTTTTTTCTTTCTTTCTTACTTTCTTTCTTTCATTCTATTTTTCTTTCTTTCTATTATTTTTTTCTTAAATTTGCTCCTTTCTTTCTTTTATTTTTCTTCTTAAATTTGCTCCTTTCTTTCTTTCTTTTTTATTTTTCTTCTTATATTTGCTCATTTCTTTCTTTCTTTCTTTCTTTCTTTTATTCTTTCTTTCTTTCTTTTATATTTTTCTTAAATTTGCTTCTTTCTTTCTTTCTTTCTTTCTTTCTTTCTTTCTTTCTTCCTTTTATTTTTATTCTTAAATTTGCTCGTTTCCTTCTTTCTTTCTTTCTTTTATTTTTCTTCGTAAATTTGCTCCTTTCTTTCTTTCTTTCTTTCATTTTTCTTATTAAATTTGCTCCTTTTTTTCTTTCTTTCTTTCTTTTATTTTGCTTCTTAAATTTGCTTTTTTCTTTCTTTCTTACTTTCTTTCTTTCATTCTATTTTTCTTTCTTTCTATTATTTTTATTCTTAAATTTGCTCCTTTCTTTCTTTTATTTTTCTTCTTAAATTTGCTCCTTTCTTCCTTTCTTTCTTTTTTATTTTTCTTCTTATATTTGCTTATTTCTTTCTTTCTTTCTTTCTTTCTTTTATTTTTCTTCTTAAAGTTGCTCCTTTCTTTCTTTTTTCTTTCTTTCTTTTATTTTTTCTTAAATTTGCTCCTTTCTTTCTTTCTTTATTTCTTTCTTTCTTTCTTTCATTTTTCTTTTTAAATTTGCTTCTTCCTTTCTTTCCTTCTTTCTTTTATTTTTCTTCTTAAATTTGCTCCTTTCTTTCTTTCTTTTAATTTTCTTCTTAAATTAGCTCCTTTCTTTTATTCTTTCTTTCTTTCTTTTATATTTTTTCTTAAATTTGCTTCTTTCTTTCTTTCTTTCTTTCTTCCTTTTATTTTTATTCTTAAATTTGCTCGTTTCCTTCTTTCTTTCTTTCTTTCTTTTATTTTTCTTCGTAAATTTGCTCCTTTCTTTCTTTCTTTCTTTCTTTCATTTTTCTTATTAAATTTGCTCCTTTCTTTCTTTCTTTCTTTCTTTTATTTTGCTTCTTAAATTTGCTTTTTTCTTTCTTTCTTACTTTCTTTCTTTCATTCTATTTTTCTTTCTTTCTATTATTTTTATTCTTAAATTTGCTCCTTTCTTTCTTTTATTTTTCTTCTTAAATTTGCTCCTTTCTTTCTTTTATTTTTCTTCTTAAATTTGCTCCTTTCTTTCTTTCTTTTTTTCTTTACTGAAATTCATTCTCACTCTTTTTTCTTTCTTTTGAATTTCTTTCGTTTTAATCTTTTTCGTTATCTTTCTTTCATTCTCGTCTCTATGTTTTTTCTTTCCTTCCTTCGTTCTTTGTCGGGCATCTCGACGTCGTGTAATAGCAAACTTATCTCGCTGAAACAATTACGACTGAGTAGTGAGTTCGATCCTCAGTGGTGTCTCATACTTTCGGCCTTGTGCCACATCTGAGCTAAGCTTAGAAAATCACTTTTCTTTCTTTCTTTAAAATTGCTTTCTTTCTGTTTCTTTTTCTTCTTTCTTTATTTGTTTTTCTCTTTTCCTTTTCATACTCATATTCTTTCTTTCTTCCTCTCTCTCTTCCTCTCCTTCTTTCTGTCTTTCTTTCAGTCTTTCTCTCTTTCTTCCTTTCTCTCTCTCTTTCTTTCTTTCTTTCTTTCTTTCTTTCTTTCTTTGTGTCTTTCTTTTTTCGTTTTTTCTCTTACTCGTACATTGTTTTTTCTAGTCCTATCCTTTTCTTTTTATTTCATGTCTTCCTTTTTCATTCATTGTTTGCTTTTTCTTTATTCTTTCCCCTTTTCTCCTTTTTACTTTTCTTTCTTTGTCTACTTAATTTTTTATTTCATTCTTTGCTAGTGTTAATCTTTCTTTCTTTACCATACCCCCCCCCGTCTAGAACATACGAAACGTCTCAAGCCACTCGCTCTTCTGTCGCTATTTCCATGGCAAATGTTCAAACGATCGACATTCCTTAGTTGTACCAGTTCTTTACGGCTAATACCCGCCATGTTACGCGCCATTTTAGCCAACCCCCATCATACCTTTGTATTCCATTGGTGAGAATAATTGTAGAAGTGGGAGGAAAAAATTGTTGTCGGGACGCCACTCAGGCCTATGACTATTTTTTTCCTCCCACTTCGACAATTTTTCCTCCCACTTCGACAATTTTTCCTCCCACTTCGACAATTTTTCCTCTCACTTCCATAAAACACTAATATACACAACCATATATAAATTCAAAATTTAAAAATTAAGCAGTTTGACTGACGATCACACATAGCGTGAAACCAAAGGTCACAAACTCACACAAATACAACTAAATACATATATATATATATATATATATATATATATATATATATATATGTATGTGTGTATTTATAAATGTAAAAGACAATAGGAAAACTGTAATAGTTGCCGATGCGTTTCGTCCTTTGTGGACTTTTTCAAGGCAATAAACGAAATGAATTTATTTAAACAAAGTAGCTAATAATAACAAAAACAAAACGTCCTTAGCAACTGGAACAATTTAGAGAACGATATTTTCATACTGTTAACTGAAAATATCTCCACATGTGACAGTAACTGACATAATTTTGCTCTACTATCGGAATCAAACCCACATTTGAATTAATGCTGTAAAGGTAAAATTTATATATTATTTTCGTTCTCATTACATTCGGATATATATATATATATATATATATATATATATATATATATATATATATATATATATATATATATATATATATATAGACAATCTAAGAGCCAGGCAAACCTACCTAGGTTTCCTCTAAACGGATATTCTACCCTGAAGATCCGTTTAGGTGGCTTGATAGGTTTGCCTGGCTCCTTAGGATTATCATAAGTTTTGCTCTACTTAGTGTATTGAGCACTTTACGTCGTTGTCTTTTTACTCGTTTTAGGGGGCTTTTTTCTTTGGACTTGGAGCTTAAACACTGGACGATTGTTTTCGACTTGTTTTAATATTCTTGGTTCTTTCTTTTTTTATTTCTCATTTTTACTCGGGAACCGATTTGTTCGACTGTAAATTGAGCTATCCGAGGTTTTTCCAAACAAGTACCACCATTTATAATATATATATATATATATATATATATATATATATATATATATATATATATGATTGTCGACGTGCTGATGGATTTCCGCATGTAGAGTAAGATCTACTAATAAATGAGTGTAGAATTTTATTTGTTGTGTTTTTCTTTCTATGTAGATATGTTTTTTATTTTTAATATTTGATAGTAAATATGTTTTTTTTCTTGTTTCTTGTTTCAGTGCTTTTCTGAAGGCGTTACGATGCGTGGATGATTTGAAGAGCAAATGTAATCGGAACCAAAAAGAACGTATGGAAATGGCAATGATAAATTTGAGTCAAACCCAAGATGAACTGAATAAACTTTGCAAAGACGACAGAATCTATGAACGTAAGTCATGACGGAATTAATTAACCGCGCCATATTCAATTTATTTTCTCATACTCATAGTTTCTTCTTCTTCTTCTTCTTCTTCTTCTTCTTCTTCTTCTTCTTCTTCTTCTTCTTCTTCTTCTTCTCCTCCTCCTTCTTCTTCTTCTTCTTCTTCTGCTCCTCCTCCTCCCTTCCTCTTGTTCTTCTTCTTTTGCTCCTCCTCCTCCACCTCCTCCTTTTTCTTCTTCTGC